GGGGGTGGCTACCCCACTCAGATTGATTGTCAAGCTCACGAGTAGCTGATTACCACGCATGCAGCATGGAAGGTGGGGGTGACGGGGTACGTGGAGCGGGGGAAGGTGCTGCGGGAGGTACGGCGCCGGAGCGGGAAGAAGGCGGAGTTCTGGCCGAGCGGCGGTACGCCGCTGCGCTTCACGTCTCTGGGGGGCTGCTTCGGCGGCGGTGGCGGCGAGCCCTACCGCGACACCTACAGCTACCACCGACGCGGCTACGGTGATGGTGGTAGGAAATTGTAATATCATATTATGATATGATATCATAGACGCATCGAACCAGAAAAGTTGATCATACTCGAACTTCGTATTGAGAATTTACGGCTAATGAATATGATACTATGCATGTAATTTGAATATACTCCATCCGTCTCAAAAAGCTTGTCTGTTAGATACATACGGTATCAACAAATCTAAGACTAGCTTTTTGGGACAGAGGTAATACTACATAGAGTAGTGTCATGTAGATGATACTATGGAATGCTAGTGGTGTGAACGCACACGCATCTTCTATTTTTGTTATTTATTTTCTTTTCTTTGATGGTCGGTACGACACTTCTAATGTTAAATGCATAAATACCCCCACAAGCGGCTCGACGGGAGGCAGCCATTGCAGATCTTCTTCCTTGTGACAGAACCACTTATCGACTGTCCTTTGCCTTAGCTAGTGAGAATGGCACTTGCTCCACGCTCGTCTCTGGCTCTGCGCTCCCTGCTGCTGCTCATGTCGAACAGGAAGCCACATCGGAGCTGTTTCTTCTCCTCCTCCTCCTCCTCTGCTGCCGCCGCCGCTCCTCCAGGAACATGCACTCCGACTGCTCTTGCCGTTCAGCCTCCAGCCGATCCAGGTAACTTAGCTTCTACCCCTCTCCATGGTGACACTTCTACAGTAGCTATTATCGATATCTGCTAATTGTTACAACTGCTCTTCATGGCGCTGCAGTTCCGCTGTCAGGTTCGAGTCGTCACCTGTCGGTTGCCCCGGAAGAACGAGTTATTCATCCATTTCCATGTAGTAGCACACCTAAAATCCCAATCCACAAGCTTTCTCATCCCACCCTCCAAGATCCTAAGCACACTGAACTTGAACCCCTCACCGAAAAGCCTTCGACGTGCACCGCCCCAGAAAATCTTACACGCCTACTTCCTGAGGATTCATGCAACACACTTCAGCCTCCGACCCACAAACCTTTGCCCAAGAAACATCCTACTCATAAACTTTCCCATGATCCTGGTCACGGAGTTGCTCTGGGCTCACGCAGACGCAGCTCTTCGCACGACCAACCTAGGAATAGGATGCATAAACCTGCAGCCGACACGCCTTCAGCGCACACCCTGAAAGATCCTGAACACCCGAATCAAGATGGTTCATGTAGCACACTTCCACCTGTAACTTACAAGCCTTCGAAGAAAACACATCCTAACCACAAAGTTTGTGAAGATCCTGATCAGCCTGGGCTGCGAAGCACTCCCAAGGACGATCCACCACGCTCAATTCCTGACCGAAGATAGATGAAACTGACGAGTCTTCCACGCACACCCTGGAAGATCCTAAACACCCGGTTACTGATTGTTCATGTAGCCGCACACTTCAGCCGGCCGTCGGCAAGCATTCGCTAGGCATTCTCAAGATACTGATCACCCGGTCACAACTCCGGAGGATTCACCTTCAACAATGCAGTGAGCAGGCCTTCATCAGGCACCCTCCTCTGCACAAGTCGTCCTCTTCCGGAAGAATAATTGAATAAACTTAAATTATCTGTTACTGCTGCCGTGTTACCACTGGGGCCATGTAATCTCCATGCTGTCATATCGAGTGATCTTCGAATCAACTTTATCAAATAATAAAGGTGTACGTTAGTTTTTTGTTTTGAAAGGAAGGGCTCATTTTTTTTAAATAATACATTTTTTTATTAATTTTCATAAATATTACGCTGGGTAAATTTTTTTCAAAAATAATACACCGTCGGCCCGCTGCAGGCCGACTGGGCCTAGTCGGCCCACAGCAGGCCGATTGGATTCCAGTCGGCCTACAGCTGGCCAACTGGCCCCTGTCGGCCCACTGTGGACTGATTGGGTCCTGTCGGCCCACTGTGGGCTGACTGGAGCTAATTGGCCCGCTGTGGGCTAATTGTTTTTGCAAAAAAATAGGCATAAACAATATATGTTTAAAAAAATGTTAATCATGTAATTAAAAAATGTTAAACGTGTATAATTTTTTTTCCTGATGTATACAAAAAATGTACAATATATATGCAAAAATGTTGACATAAAAAGTATGTTTTAAAAAGTGTTAATCATGTATTTAAAAATTGTTAAATGTGTGTATAAAAAATGCTCCTTATTTATACAAAAAATATAGAATGTGTATGAAAAAAAGTTGATACCAAAAAATTATGTTGGTGAGTTGGTGACAAAAAATAAATCAAGGTTGGGAAAAAAATATGATTGGTTGCTCTTTTTTGTATGGAACTGGAACATTTTTTTCAAACATATTTTTTTGGTGTCAACTTTTTTTCATACACATTCTATATTATTTTTATAGATAAGGAACATTTTTTATACACACATTTAACAATTTTTAATCATGTATTTGAATAAATGTCAACTTTTCAAACATAATTTTTTGGTATCAACTTTTTTTCATACACATTCTATATTTTTTGTATAAATAAGGAACATTTTTATACACACATTTAACAATTTTTAAATACATGCTTAACACTTTTCAAAACATATTTTTATGTCAACATCTTTGCATATATATTGTACATTTTTTGTATACATCAGGAACATTTTTTATACATGTTTAACATTTTTTAATTACATGATTAACATTTTTTAAACATATATTTTTATGCCAATTAGCTCCAGTCGGCCCACAGTGGGCCGACAGGACGCAATCAGCCCACAGTGGGCCGACAGGGGCCAGTCGGCCAGCTGTAGGCCGACTGGAATCCAATCGGCCTGCTGTGGGCCGACTAGGCCCAGTCGGCCTGCAGCGGGCCGACGGTGTATTATTTTTGAAATTTTTTTATCCAGCGTAATATTTATGAAAATTAATAAAAAAATGTATTATTTAAAAAAAATAGCAAAGGAAGGTGTATGCTGTTTGTCTTGATATCTTACGTGGAACTTACCAGCTTTCTTGTGCGGAGGAACGGGTAAAAAAATCCTTACACACATTAGGCATTTTATTTGTATTGCCGCTTCTCTTTTTAGTCATACTAGGAAACATGACCATGCGTTGCAAGGGGAGAAAAAAAATCATGTGTTGCAGGGCTCAAGTCTCGTGTTGGAGACACTGTCGTGGTTTAGCCCACAGGTGTGTGGCATAGTCAAGTGGTCGGAGAGCCGAAGTCCTTCATGAGGTTTTCAAAGAATAGAGAAAGTAGAAACTTATCCATAAATAAAATAATTTGGAAGACCAAATCGCAAACAATACTAAATGAAAAGGTGCTACCTGCCCATGTCTTTCACGTGTACTTCGTCCGCAGAGTGACTGCTACTAACGCTACATATGGACAACGATGTGTCGTTGACGCGTCGCGCGTCGACTGTGTTTTGTTTTCTTGGCCGCTTGTTGGGGATTGGTGTCGTGGGGTCTAGCGCGTCCTTTCAGTGTTTGTCTAGATGCAAAGCCTGCACAAAAATGCGCCCGGTTTGGGTCCGACGGACATGAGCCGAACGCTTTTTGGGTTTGCTCTTGGTCGTGGATCATCTTCATTTTGCTTCAAACGAACACAGAAGGACCAAATAGAGTCACCCGTTGGCCTTATTGCATGGTTTTTTTTTTTTTGAGTCGTACGGGAAAAACTCCCCACCGCTTGTGATTATTATCTCAAAAACCGAGGGGACGCCAGAAACACAAGATTTTACCGGGGCAGCTTCACAGGCAGATTGCGACACGTCCAGGGCGGCTGAGCAGCAAGGACCGTCTCGACCGTTCCGGCGCAGGCCGATGACCAACAGCAGCCCAAACGGAGGAGCTCTAGGCACACCCAGAAAATAGGTGGTCACCGTTATATAATAAACGTCTCCGTTTTAGCGTCGATGATTTATTATACATTTTTATGAAGCAGGATCAGCAATGTTTGGAGATAATTTATATTCGTTGGACATGCGTGCGTAGGTTCGGACAAAATATAGTACACGTCCGCATACTCGTGGAGGAAGTAACTGTTGGAAATAATGCATCGGTTCAGAGAATTCCAAGTCTGATGCTTTGGGCATATCCTGTCACGTAACAAACTGAAACTTCATGCACACACGTTGCTGGCCGTTCGGCAAGCTGCAACTCCTTCCCGAGTCCTCTGCTAGGACGTGAGCATTATCCTGTTGTTCCTCCCGATTCTCCTGGTTCCAACGAGTGCACCGCGCTTCGCTCGGCAAGACGTTTCATTGAAACGTTGCTTGTTGGAATGCTTCCTTCCTGATCTCTATAAATGGTAGAGAGCATCGGGACAAATACACAACACATCTTCATCTCCTTCCTCACATATCACAAGTGCTGAGCCGCCGTCGGAACGAAGCCTGCCGTGCTGTTCGTCGTGCAACGGCAGCCCGGCGAGCGGTGTCTCCGTGACTCCGGCCGCATCCTTCGACCCTGCACGGGGGCGGTCTAGAGTTTTCTGGGCAGCGTCCGCGCGACCGCTCCTTCGACGTCCTCGACATCATCATCTCCGGCGAGGGCTGCTTCGTCGACGTCCTCGACAACATCGTCTCCGGCGACCGCTGCTTCCTCGACGTCCTCGTCGACATCGTCTCCGCCACCGCTGCTTCCTCTACGAGATCGTCTCCAACAAACTCCATCCACGAACACCAAGTGCACCGACGTCTAGACTGTAAGTTGCATTTGATCATTATTAGTACAAGATAAATCTGTCCATGCTCTAGCCGATTCTCCATCAGGTTTATCTAGTGCTTTAGACTGTCTTTTTGTTCCTGCTGCTAGTGTTTTCAGCCATGTCGTGTGTGTTCGGTAGATTCAGTATCTTTATGTTAATTTGTCTATATTGCTACTTTGCCGTCACTAGTATTGTAGATGGTTCTCGCTGGTTTCGTGATGTTTTCCTTTGCATGCTAATTATACAAGGATGGGTGCTATCAATCTGCTCCTGTGTGAATCTATATTGCATGCTTATGAAGAAAACCATTTGCCTGTTTAACCTGCTCTTGTACGTACTAGGTAAAGGAATTAAATTAATGACAAATTATGTATTGTGTCCAACAATCCAGAAAACTCTAGATCAATTTGTCATGGATGCTCATGTTGCGGAACTGATGAAACCTGAAAAGTTTGCCGGTGACAACTTCAAGAGATGGCAGTCCAAGGTGCGTCACTACCTCCTGTCCAAGGGCCTGTGGTGGATTATCCCACAGGTTAGGCCGCTGACTCGTCAGCAGGTAATGGACTTTGAGTTAGCAAACGACACTGTTGTGGCTGTCATCTTGTCGCTCCTTGAGAACCAGCTCTATGATGTATACCATGGGTACACCTCTGCAATAGAGCTTTGGGATGCGCTGGATCGCAAGTACGCGGTCTCTGACGCAGGGCGATGGATTTATGTGGTTGAACAGTACCACGATTTCCGCATGGTGGACGGCGTCTCCGTCGTCAAGCAAGCTCATGATCTTACATCGATTGTGAGTGAGTTGGCTTAGTTTGATGTGAACGTCAATGCCAAGTTTGTGGTGGGGGGCATCATTGCCAAACTCCCTCCTTCATGGAGAGATTTTGCCACCACGCTTAAGCACAAGAGGGAGGCAATGAGGGTTGATGACCTGATTGCTCACCTTGATGTGGAAGAGAAGGCACGTGCTAAAGACACACCTTCCATGGCAAATGACGGCACCTCAAACGCCAACTTTGTGCAGAAATCTGGTGCTAAGTACAAGGGCAAACAACAGAATCCAAAGGCCAAGAATACAACCAACTTTAAGAAGAAGAAGGAATGCATAATCTGCTATGTGTGTGGTGAGCCTGGCCACAAGGCCAATAAATGCCACAACAGGAAGGGCAAGAAGGGTGGGCAGCAGAACGGACAGAACACTGTCAACGTGGTTGTTAGCGAGCCTAGTACTGCGGGGTATGATTCGAACCCTGCTGTTTTAATGGCGTGTCAATCCGCTGAATGGCTGGTTGACACGGGAGCTAACATTCATATATGTGCTGACCTTAATTTATTTTCCTCTTGTCAGGCTACAAGCGGTTCCCCCATCTTGATGGGAAATGGCTCAGGTGCTGTTGTTCTGGGAGTAGGGAAGGTTGACCTGAAGTTTACATCAGGAAAAATCATTACCTTAAAGAACGTGCAGTATGTGCCCTCAATAAATAGGAACCTGATTAGTGGCTCTCTTTTATGCCGAGATGGCTTCAAATTAGTTTTTGAGTCGAATAAAGTTGTTATTTCCAAATTTGGTTTATTTATAGGGAAAGGCTATGAGTGTGGAGGCTTGTTCCGCACATCTTTGTTGGATGCTGAGAATAAATTTGTTCACAACACTATTAG